GACTAGAAGCCAGTGAATGGTTACTGATGTTATTTTAGACACAGGCACACCAACTGAGTACCCCCAACCATTCTCATCCTAACATATTCTACTTTTAAAAATATTTTACAATTTCACTTTATCTTTCAACATGTTCTTTTTTGTTATATTTTTTAAAAAGCCACATTATTATCATGTACATAAAACTGTACAAAGAAACCAAGGCATCACAAGAGTTTCGATATAAATATAACCAACACTTAGGCTACAACCTTGTATTTCCTGTAATTATCTATTTAAATGGTGGCTGTTCTTCAATTACTTAGTGTAGAGTTTTTAATATCAAAATCATGTGTAGGCAGATGCCCACAAACCGTTAAAGCGCTATCGGTTAATTTCAGAGCCAACGTCATAGTAATGAAGCCGCTCAGCCACCGCTTCACAAAATAAATTACTGATTTCGTTTTTAATCTTTTTCGAGGGGTAGAATGATGCTGTTTACTATCTACCTCTATTATGCGCAGAGATGCATGGTGAGCCTCATTATGCACGGTGACATTACAACACGATGACATGTTCGTTCATAACTCCTAATACCTGGACAAATGCAGCTGGTGGTTCTGCTCCAAAATGAGTCCATGTGTCAGACAAAGAATTAAGTCACATTGGATTTGATTGATTTCCATGTAATCAAATACACTATTCAGCACAAATGAAATAGAGCTTACAGTAGGATGAAATTGAACATCAGTCATGAACAGGCCCACACGGAATCTGTGCCGGCAGAAAGCTCCATAGATTTCCACAGAACTGGAACGCCCATTATTTAAAAAGCCATAAACATCCTCCACCCTTGCATGTTGGCTTATTAAATATTTGGCTAATTTGATAGTGCTTTCAGCAACCAGTTAAGCTCTATTTAACCCATTTTACCATGCTTAAATCCATTACACAGATTATTTTTTCCCTCAAAAATGAATGGAAAAAAACAAAAAAAAATTCCGGTTTGGATTTTTGGAAAAAAAAAAAAGTTTACATTATTTGCTCATCACTGTGCTGCAATGGACAACATCATCAAAAACAAACAAACAAACAAAAAAACATATGTATAGAACAAATAACCATCTTCAATTTTGCTTCAAGACTGCTAATCAAAGTGTGAAAGCAGGACAAATTTGTATTACGGATAATAAAACTTCCTAATGGGGTTGTGTGGAAAGTGTAACTTAAATTAGAAAAAAACAAAAAAACAAAACTTAAAACTAATGAGAGATTGTGTTTGGTATGAAATAACAGCAGTTCAAAGTTCAGAATAACAATGTCTTCAATTGTCTTAAACAATAAACAAAATCACACACATATATATA